CCGCTCAGTGGGCCTGTATGGAGCTATAATTTTAAAACAGTGAGTTCTTTGGAAGGATCTGTAATTTGTGAACTCAGCGACCCTCCAGAGTCCCTGAAAATGCATTTTGCTCGGTTTGAACATTCAATCTGATTTAATAACAGTCATATCCGACTTTTTTGCGCGCGAAAATCAGTCGGCGCGCGTTGAGCGGAAACTTCAATCGATCATAACTCCGAAACCGTTTGGTTCCCCGACTTAATAGACAACTCGTTGGATGCGAAAAAAACGAACAATTTAAAAAAACGAACAATTTAAAAAAACTGGTTATGGTTCAAATAAAAAATTGAGATCTTTGTAAATTTTTCGTGTAAAATAAAGGAGGGGTATCGATAAGGGCCGATTTTGGGCCCACTTCAAAAAATTATCCGAACCCATATTTTAAGTACCCTAGGGTAGGTGTATTCTGGCGCATAATGTGTTTTGCGATTGGGCATCGTTTTCCTGTCAAAATAGCCGACTCAATTTTTCGGCTGAAAAATGGTTTTAATTTGACGACGAGCCCAAAAAAGCTTTGCTTCATGGATACGGGAGAAGCTTTTGCGTAATTTTTTGCGTACTTTTCAATGGAACAGGCGAAAATTGTCTAAACTCACTTTTAGTGGGTCATTCTGGACATTTTCAACGATTTTTGGGGTTTTTGGCAATTTTTCACCTGTAACTAGAAAACTGTTATTTATGATAAATTTCACTTTAGAAGATAAAGTCTGCTGGTTTTGGATTTAATTTGACTCAACCAGAAGGCGATAAATGTTACTTATGAAATGACAGCGCCCATAAAACTCAGGCTGTAATATCCAGAGAATATCTACCATGATTTGCCAGCAGCCAGCAGTCTGCTTACTGCTTTTCTTTTTCCCTCACCATCATCTGAAATCTTAGCTTAAGAGCTTAATACAAAAACGACGTTTTTCGCCCCCCTTCTGGAATTTCTTCAAACTTCATATATCAGTTACTCATACTTGCGCACTTCTTTTCCCACCCCCATTTTCTAATCCCCAACAAAGAGCTTGATTCAAAAACGGCTTTTTTCCCCCCCCCCCCTCTGAAATTTCTTCAGACTTTGTTTATTGATTTCTCATACTTGAGCGCTTTTTTCCCAAATTTTCAGACCCCTAAAAACTTTTGGGGGGGGGGGGGGGGGGGGGTCGAAGTCATAACCTGTGAACCTCGATATCTCTCGAACGAGGAAATATATCGAGGTCTGGTTTGGCCGAAAAATCGTCTAAAATTGCATACTTTAAGATTCTAAAGGTCAAATTCCTGATATCACATTTTTAAGTTGGATTACATTTTGCAATAAGGAACCACTATTTCTGGCTTATTTTAGAAACAACATATATGCCATTGATTTCCCTATGCAGATACGTGCTTTTATCGAAGAGCTAGAGATAGTGGTTCCTTATTGTAAAATGTAATCCAGTTAACGTAAATGCTTCTTTCCAGTTTTTAAGGTCTAGAAAAGGAGGGGTATCGATAAGGGCCGATTTTGGGCCCACTTCAAAAAATTATCCGAACCCATATTTTAAGTACCCTACGGTAGGTGTATTCTGGCGCAAAATGTTTTTTGCGATTGGGCATCGTTTTCCTGTCAAAATAGCCGACTCAATTTTTCGGCTGAAAAATGGTTTTAATTTGATGACGAGCCCAAAAAAGCTTTCTTCATGGATACGGGAGAAGCTTTTGCGTAATTTTTTTGCGTACTTTTCAATGGAACAGGCGAAAATTGTCTAAACTCACTTTTAGTGGGTCATTCTGGACATTTTCAACGATTTTTGGGGTTTTTTGGCAATTTTTCACCTGTAACTAGAAAACGGTTAATTATGCAACTAAAGCGATTGCAGATTCAAAAAGAGCGTAAAAAATCCGTTAGAAATCATTAGTTAGACATTTTCTCAGCTTAAACCGTCAACACGAAAAACAGCTCTAAACTTGAGAAAACCGAAAAAACTGCATTTTTCACGATTATTAGTCTTCATTTGCACCCAGCACAATTTTGTCACATCACCAAAATTCAACAGATTAAAGTTACATATCAGCACATGAAACACGCCAAAAATTACGGTGTGGAAAAATTGTGCTCATAGTTATAAATAGACCTTTGCTGAATGGTACCATCCTTGAATAAAAGATGAAAATTCTCTAACTCTCCGGGAAGATTCGCCAATCATTCATGGGATACCTGTATCCGGGTAATTTTTTGCGTACTTTCGATTGGAACGAGTGAAAATTGTGAAAAATCATGTCAAGTGGGTCATTCAGAGAATTTTTCACGATTTTTGGGAGGTTTTGGGGTTTTTGTGGGGGGGGAGGGTAGTTAGGGGTTTTTGGGGGGCTTGGGGAGCATTCTTTGTTTGTAATACAACAAAAACAATAACAAATTCAGAAAGAACGCAAAAAATTCGAAAGGATTCGATACTTGACACTCTCTCAGCTTGGACTCCCTACACGAAAAACGGTCTCGAACTCGAGAAACTGGAAGAAACGGCCTTTTCTCCAGCTCCCCAGTCATAATTTACATTACCAGTGTAAAAAAAGGTTTTTTCGTTTTTTTTGGAGAACCACTTCCGTGGACCAGGTGTTCCTGGTCGGCTAAATCAATTAAATTTTACAGTTAATCGGTTGGGTATTTATTTTGGGCAATGTTCCAATGAAGTTTTTATTTTTATTATTATTATTATTTTTATTTTTTTTTTTTTTTTTTTTTTTTTTTTTTTTTTTTTTTTTTTTTTTATGAGTACTTTTCTCACAAAAATACGTTTGTGGAAATAAACTCATTGAAAGATGGACCAATACCATACGTAGCCAAGTCTTCCGAAACTAGAGCCTTCTAAAATTGCTAAAATTTGAGGGTTCATAAACATTTTTTAAAAAAGTGTTGAAATCGTAAAAAGGTGTTAAAATCGAAAAAAGTTGTTAAAATCGTAAAAAGTTGTTAAAAATTTAAAAAATCGTTAAAGTATAAGAGCATAAACAACTATGTTAGCAGTCGGCCACATAATTAAAAATAAAAATACAGTCTCTGCCCTGAGCTTAGGAAAGATCTAGTGATATTACAGGTGTGCAGGATCACAGCTTTCTAGCTTTGAGTGTGAACGTTTTCACCTAAGTGGAGCTGCTTCATATGTCTCAGGAAAGAATAAGGAGCGATCCCCGTGACGGATATTATAAATGGTACAATAATTACTTCTTTAAGCTTCCACAGTCGCTGTATTTCAGTTGCTAAGGGCAGATACTTTTCGATCTTCTATACTATAAGCTCCAAGACCTCCTAATTTTGCGAAACTGGTGACGCTTAGTTCCAGCGTTCCACCGGGCCGATTTTCATTATTTTTGCGGCTATCGACGGGCAATTGTCTCTAGATAAGCCAACTCTTTTCAGATTTTCAAAATATGGCCCAGGTTTTTTTATATTACGTGGTAAAGTTGCGAATTCTCCCATATAAACAATGTAAATTTATGTGTTTTGTCATAGTTCGTTTGAGCATTCTACTGGGCCGATTTCCATGATTTTTGCGTAAATCGACAGGTAATAGGCTCTAGATGAGCCCGCT